TGGATTTGGAATGGAATGCGTAGACACTTGGAAACCATAAGTCCAACTAAAGAACAACAACTGATAAGAACACAATGCAACGCATGGCTTGCTTTTACCATTAGGATTAGTTGCTACACAAGCTATTGTTAAGAAAGATGTAGCCAAATGTGAGCAATTTCTTAAGCCAACATTCACTGGTATTAAATTTACATCTTATAGGTCTTCTACAGTCTTCCAAGTTTTCAAACTAAGAAAACCCGGATAGCAACTAACACTTTCAAAATGGTGTTAATATGTCCCCACTTTGGTATCCTAATTTGTAAATGAGTTAAAAGGAATGATTCTCATGAGTATGCTCATTTCAACCTTAATTTCATCTGTTTAATGTTGCGCAATTTCCTACTTGAAATGGGAGGAGAGGGATTGCTTGTTCCATGAAGTTATGTGACACAGTTTATGATGCAGTTGATTTTGATAACATTAAACATTTTTTGCTCTCACGAGTAAAGTACTCTTTTTTTTTTTGAGTTTTCCTCTAATTTTTTCAAATAAAACTTTGTTAACAGAACTCATTCCCAACCACAGAAAGCAGTAGCTGACTGTGCTACTAGTTAGGGCACTGTTGAATCCAGAAGGGCACTTAAGAAACGTGTCGGGTTGTGACCTTGCCGTCAGGCTGAACTTGCTGTCCAGTTCATCTCTCTATTGGCTCACGTGAGAAAATGCTTCAACCTTGACTTGGCATCTTCAGTGAGGGGAAAAACGGGCTTGAAACAATACTTTACATCCTGATTGAGTGCCATTGTGCTGAATAACATGACCACTTTTTAAAGCACAAGGTTAATGGCATTTATTTTTAAAGTAATAAAGTATAAAAGTAGGGAAGTATTGCTGCAACTGTACAAGGCATTGGTGAGACCACACCTGGAGAATTGCATGTAATTTTGGTCTCCTTACTGGAGGGATGTAGAAGAATGAGAGGAGCAATGATTTGAGGTATACAAGATACTCGAGGGGATTGACAAAGTGGATGTAGAACAAGAGGTCATAGTTTTGGGAAAAGGGGTAGCAGATCTAAAAGTGAGAAATTATTTCTCTCGAAGGGTCTTGAATCTGTGTAATTCACTACCCTAGAGTGCAGCAGCTGCTGGGACATTGAGTAAATTTAAGAACTAGATAATTTTAATGGAGTGAAGAGTTATTGGGACTCGGCAGGGAAGTGAAGTTGAAGCAGAATTTGGCTATGATAATATTGAACGGAGGTACAGTCACTGCTGAACTGCCTAGTGCTGCTTCTGGTTCTTGACTGTGTACCCATCCTTGTACTCAAAACAGCTCAAGGATTTAAAAGCTGGCATGCGTAATTTTGTTTTTTTTGTCTTTGCCAGGATGTGTTTGAGATGCGTTTTGCAAAAATTCCAGATGAACCTGTTGAACCAGTTGTTCCGTCTCCTCCTCCTCTGCCACCTCCAACTAACCAGGTGTCGTCCTCTTCCTCGAGTGACAGCAGCAGTGACAGTTCTTCTGACAGTGACAGTAGCACAGATGATTCAGAGGAGGAGCGGGCACAGAGGCTGGCTGAGCTTCAAGAACAGGTACTGTCTCTAAGACGACTGTATAAATTGATTCTGGTTGATTTCACTTTGCACTTTTTACAATCTGTGATAGGCAGGTGAATATACAGAATATAAACGCTCCTGAGATGATGATCATTAGTAAATTAGATAAAATTTTGTGGTGGCTTAACTACAGGAAATCTTCCATTAGAAACTACAACAGTCAGTATTGTATTGTCAGTATTTTAGCGGGAGGCGATGGCCTAGTGGTATTATCACTGGACTGTTAATCCAAAGACCAGATAAGGTTCTGGAGACCCGGATTCGAATCTCGCCATCGCAAATGGTGGAATTTGAATTCAATGAAATATCTGGAGTCTAATGACTGTGTGAATCCATTGTCGATTGTTGGGGAAAAACCCATCTGGTTCACTAATGTCCTTTAGGGAAGGAAGCTGCCATCCTTTACCTGGTCTGGCCTACATTGTGGTTGACTCTTAACTGCCCTCTGGGCAATTAGGAATAAGCAATAAATGCAGCATAGCTAGTGACGCCCTCATCCCATGAATGAATAAAGAAAAAAAAAATCAACAGCAAATTTGAAATACATGGCTTGTGATAGTGTTTATGCATCAATGAATGTGTTCTAATCAAGGGTATTATGGCAGGAAAGCTGAAATATTCTACCTTCCTCCCAAAATGTATGTGTTTTTGACTAACAAGTGAAATTCCATATGTTGAGATTGTCCTCCTCTTTTTGGGATTGATATATAGTTTGAGTCACTTGAACATGCCTTTTTGGTGCAGAGTGATTGATAATATTGCCCCTTTGATACTCTGTTTTCTGTTGAATTGATTGCTTTGGTTAGTTTGTGAATGAGATGGTGTGGCATGATCCAGCCCAAGTTGCTGTCATGTTTGCATTGAAATGTTGTCTTCACCTGCAATTACCTGTATTCTCCATGCTACTTCTCATCCTACATGTTTAATTTAACCTGAGCTGTTCAGATTGCAGGGCAATGCAAGGTAGTAATAACTTGTGCAGCATAATTAATAAGCATTGCTGTTTATCTGAGAGTGATATCCCCAACCACTTGTCCCTTTTTCCATTTGTATCCATTTATATTTCCTTCCATTTTTGTATCGCCACATTGCTTTCAATCCCACGTACTCAATCAGTTCTTAGTCCAAATCCATCTATGACTTTGATATTTCTTGTATGTATCTTTTAGATTCTTAGCCTAGTTCTCATACGTTAAAAATTATTTTCTGTCAACAGGAATTTTAAGTTATTTAAAGCATTATGCCTAACAACCCAATGATATTATCATGGATAGGAAACTGGATTAGAACTCAAGATCAAATGTTAAAACAGGACAGAATACAGTTATTACTCTACTGATGCCTGTTCATGTAATTGATTTCACTTGATTTGTTGTTGGGTCATAGCGGACTAGTTTTATTGCAACTGTATGTTTAAACAATTGGCTATATTCAAAACAAATTTAAAAAGCAATTTAGCTATAGTCTAGTCACATGTTTCTCTCTCTTGGCCTTGAATGTTAAGAGCTTTATACACCAAACTATTAAAACATTATTTCTAATACATTCATGGTCTTTGAATATAGCTAGTAAGGCCAACATATATTCCCTGGCTCTAATTATCCTTTGAATTTGCTGCCATTGGATTGCTGCACACATGTGGTGTAGGTATTCCCATAATGCCATGACGAAGGAAGTTCTGGATTTTAGCACAAAATGAAAAAACAGCAAAGTAGTTCCAGGTCAGGCTGGTGTATGGCTTGTAAGGGGACCTGCAAATGTTTTGCTTTTGTTTTCTGGATGGGCAAAGGGTTTGAAGGACCATGCATAAATTGTTGCGGTGTATCTTGTATTTGTTACACACTGCTGCTGAGTCTGGGATGCAAGAGATCAGATAAAACAGGCTCCTTTTGTCTTGGATGATGTCAACTTTCTTGTGTTAGAGCTGCACTCATCCGGGCAAATACAGAATACTCCACAATACTCTGGATTGAGGTGGGCATTCACTGGGGAGTCTGGAGGTGAGTTGCTTGCGGAGGAATACGCAGCCTGTTACCTACTGTTGGCCACAGTATTTACATGACAGGTCCAATACACTTTCTGATCAGTAGTTACCCCCAGAATATTGGTGGGGGTCAGCAATGATAATGCTTCAAGGAAAATTGGTTAGATTCTCTTGATGGAAGTGGCATTGCCTGGCACTCTTGAGGCATGAGTGTCACTTAGTCCAAGTTTGAATGTTGTCTAGGTCTTCCTCCATGCAGGCAAAGAGTGCTTCTGTATTTGAGTGAATGTTGGTAAATACTGCACTTTTCAATGAACACCTCCGTGCGGTTAGCCTTGATAATACAATACAGAATCAAAAGTGAGTTTGCCTTCAATTCAGTGTTATTTCTAGCTCCCGTAATGCTATTGTTGATTCCTCTGTCTTGAATGACTCATCTATGATATATAAGGATCACCTCTTGTTTAAAAAGTTAATCTGGATTGTATTCTTCAGGGTCTAGTTGAGTACAGAATTCAGACAAAACCTAATTGCATCCATCTTCCACGAGTGAATAACTTATAAATGACAGATAGCAAGAACTGCAGATGCTGGAGTCAAGAGTCAGTATGGTGTGCAGCTGGAGGAACACAGGTTAGGCAGCTTCAGAGGAGTCGGAAAGTCATTGTTTCGGGTTTACACCCTTCATTAGGACTCCACACTACTGATGCAATTATAAGTGACCTTCAGCTTTGAGAAACTATTTTAAATGATCCAATCAGCTGCCTGATATTTTTGACTAAAAGTATTTGGTAGCAATTTAATCAGGGATCTTAGCCAATAGTTTGGAGATTAAAGTAATGAACTGATTGTACAACATTTTAATGAAAGATCAAATTTGCTGCTTGTTCTTAAGTATACACTTAAAAGCATTGCAGTTTTTCTATCTGGGTGATAACATTTTCCTTCCCACTTGTTGAGGCATTTAATCATAGCCTATTTTTTACAGATCCAGTGGTTAAACACATTAATAATCTTGAATATACTCTGAACCACGTCCATGTCTATTCACCTGAGGAGTATTTAATTAAGGTGCTTTATCTCAATTTTATCTGTCGAGCAGGATGAAGGTAAGTTGTGGCAGACAAGGCAAAACCAGATTCAAGGTGAATAATGTGGTCCTTTTGGTAAGCTAAAAGAAAAATAAGAATGCTTGACAACAGTCTAACTTGACATTTCTAACATGGATGATATGATAACAATGATTTGACTGTTTTCATTCTGAGAAGCCAGAGGAATACCTGAACTATGCTTAAACTGTGAAAATTAGGTTGGAGTCATGATATCAAAGTTATCTCCCTGAAAAGTACCGCATTAAATATGTGATCAGGATTTTACAGCTGATGTTTTAGTGCAGGAAGCAAGTGTTGTTGCTTTATCGCCTGTTAAATATTGATACCAGAGAGAGGAAATTGTACCTTCTGTATGTCTTGCTGGTGAGAACATGGTGTAAACCACTGTAATGTGCAGTTGTGAACATTTTGTGTTGTCTGTAATACTGTTAGATGTGATCATGTCATACCTGACATTTTTTGGATTGCTTGACAATGTCAATTTACAAATTATATTGAAGAAAGGAATATTTCTCCATATCCCCCTTTAGATGTGCATCGACTTGAATGAGTAAATACTAAGTAACTGCAAACTGTTCATGGGGGTGCAGCACTTTATGGAGTTAACTGCAATTAAGATTGACGAGCACTGTTTTGTCACAGTTGAAAGCGGTGCACGAGCAGCTGGCTGCCCTTTCCCAACCACAACTGTCAAAACCAAAGAAAAAGGAAAAAGACAAGAAAGAAGAGAAAAAGAAAGAAAAGGAAAAAGACAAGAAAGAAGAAAAGAAAAAGAAAGAGGACGTGGAGGAAAAGAAAAGGAGCAAAGCTAAGGAGCAACAGCCAAAAAAATCAAAGAAGAACAATGCAAATACCAGGTAATTCTGATCACTTACAAGTTTATATTTAGGACAGATTTCAAATGTTAATGAATATTTGCTAAGCAATGACTTCGTTCAGTTTTATTGTTTACTTAATTGCTGAAGTGTTGTGTTAGTCTTCCCATCTATACAAAGTGCGCACAGCCTTTAGGAATATTGTCCCTTCAGATTTTAAATGTCAGATTTAGGACAGCTTCCTGCTGAAGATATCAGTATGTTGTCTTTCTACAATTTTGTGAAGTTTGGTATGCAGCATTTTCAGCCCATGATCTGTCTGCTTGGTAAATTGAATGTATTGGTTGGATGCTGGTCTTGGGTTCTGAACTCTGGTTAATTCTCTGTCAGCACTGTATGTTTGCTGCTTTCAGATACTTATTAAATCAAATCAAAATCAGGTTATTTAAGGGTTAGTACTAGTACAAAACTTAGTATGGCTGTTTCACATCAGTCATCTCCAGAAGAGGGCCATTGAGAAACTAGGAGTTGTCTTGTGTTTTGTTGAGATCCACATCCTTCTAGCTTCTCGTCAGGTGAGGCACTAGTTGTCTGTGGAAGGTACCATTTGAAACAGCACAATCTGCCAAATCTAGACTCTGGGAATGATTTTCAGATCCTTAGCACCACAGTTCAATCCAATATATTTTAATGCTGGTTGTGGTCTTGACTTGGGTTGAATCTACCCGTTAACTACCATGAAGTTGTTTCAGTGAAGAGATGCTGATATGCTGAGTTGAGGCCTTGTCAAAACCATTAACGTCACTTTGGAAATGACAAAATGAGGTTGCAGATAACGAGAGCTTTTAGCCAGGCAACAGAATGAATTTGCTGGGTAGGGTTTTTCCTGTTCCAATTGCTTGATATACTTCGCTACTCTCATGAAAGGATTCTCAAACTCTTGTAAATAATGATTTGAGTAAAGATAAGTAGAGACAAGGCAAGAGTAAGTTACATTTACGCAAAAATCAGTTTGTGTTAGCATTTCAGTTGTTCTTGACATTTCCTGGAAATGACCAGACCTCATAAACATGGTAGACCAATCAAGGAATGCTTTGATAACTTCCACCTCTCCTTGGATGTGCTTTGTGGTGGCATTTTCGTCCACTTGAAGATCATATCAATGCCATAAAATGGATAGAATAGTTGGCTTCTTAAGTACAGGGGGAAACTGTTCAACTCACCAGGGATTGCTCAAAGTCTTGCAACTTTAGACCAAGTAAATATAGTATTAATCAGTACCTCTAAAAAGAAGCTCCAAATGTTTAGGTTCTTGTGTTTTCTGGTATGTTGTAGATCTTACAGTTTTGAATTACCTTCTGCTCAACTTTGTATTTATAGCAACCTTTTACAATCAGATGTTTCAAGCTGTTGTACAGCCATTTACGTACTTGAAATATAGTTAGATTTTTAATTGGAAATTAATTTGAATATCTGCATTTTTACAACACGTATCTCTGTAAACTTTTAACGTACTAGGTATAGTCCAAGTTAAATAGTGTTGTGCAAAGATTGGTGTACATATTATCTAGTAGTGTGCTCTGGACAAAAATGAAAAGGTGTAGTACTCTTGTGATATCAGGGAATATGAGCGCACTGACTAGATGGCTCAACAAACATCCTGGCTGTATCTCTGGAGATGCCTGCTCTGGAACTAATTTCCTCCTTACAGATACAAGCATTTTCCCAACCATGTGGAGAATTGAGTGTCCTGCACACACAATACAGGGCATTCAATGTGACCAATTATTTTTCCATCATTAACTTCATAACATTTATTCAGGACAGTTTCATAGTGTACATACTTTAGAGCCAACCAGGGAGCATGTTAATCTAGGCATGGCAGTGGGACAGGATTAATCACTAGGCAATAATGTAGTGGAATTTCAATTGTAGGTCTCAGATTCTTGTTTGAAACTGGAATTAAGGTAGTGTATGAAGCCAGATCTAGCTAAAGTGAATTATGAAACTAGAGTAGAAGGCATGAGAGTAGAGATGCAGTGGCAGACTTCTTGGTCTAAAAACAGCAGGGCTTCCAAAGCAGACCCAAACAGACCTGTAGACATGCTGAGTTCAGGACTTTCTGGGGTGGGGAGGAGGGGGGGAAGAAAAAACTGCTTGGCTTAATAGTGGGGTTTTTCTCTCTTCCTCCCGCTTGTGCTCTCGTCCGAGCCCTCCACGCCCCCAGTGGCCTGAACTCAACAAGTCTACAGGTCTTCTCTGGTCCAATGCAGGGACATTGCGTGGGGGTTGGGGGAGGAAAGAGAGAGAAAACATTGCTTTTAGGTTAACCAAAGTTCCCTTTCCCAAAGGCCCCACACAGTCCTAAAGTAAACCTATTGTGTATCCTGGTAAATACAAGTCTTTTGGTGTTTGTGCCTGATTCTTCTCCTCTGTGAAAAGTTATTTATATACCTATGTACACAATGTGATCAATAATAATTGGGTGTAGCTATTACAGGAGGTAATAACCATTCTGAATTATTTAACTGATTCATTAATCAAGGTGACAGATTTCCCAACGCAGTTGGCAGAACTTGACCTGTCTCAGAAATTTGAACACTATGACCTTGGTTAGAACCGTATTTACCACTTTGAAACAAGTGATTAAAATTACACAAATCTATTTACTGCTTTCTGTCTGAACTCTGAAAAAATATTATATCCAAAAAACAGTCCCAAGGTTTTTTGACAAAGGATGCCTAACCTGCCTCTACTAACTCAAAAACACATCTCAGTGAGAAAGAAAGGCTCTTTGAGAAGGATGCACCATTTATGGTTGAATAAGAATGTGAAGGATAGTATCAAATTCAAAGAAAAACGTCAATCTGAAAAAAGTTTAGTGGTAGTTCAGTATATCTGCCTGATACTAATAACCAGCAAAGAATAATTGAGGGAGAAAGTGGCTTGCATTTTAGCTAGCCATCTTAAAAACAAAGATGATTCTTGTATTTTTAAGAAAAGAATAAAGCTAATGTTTCTTTCTAGAGAGCCTGGGGGAATTGATGGAAAACAAGAAAATGGCAAAAGTGTTAACAAGTATTTTGTATCTTCACGGTAGAAGACTGAAAGAATTTTTCAGACACTTGAAGGTCAAAAGGTGAAAGGCAGCACTTAAAACAATCAGCATCACCAAGGAAAAGATGCTTGGAAGACTGATAGAAGTAAAGGCTGACAAGTCCCCAAGAGCAAATGGTCTCCAGGCTCTAGTTCTGAAAGAAATGGCTGCTGTGAGAGATGCTTCAGTTACAACCATCCAATATTCTTTAGATCCATGAAGTCCTTTTAGATTGAATAATAGTTTGTACTTTATGAAAGGTTGGAAATAGAAATCAGGAAGCTGTAGGCCGGTTGGCATATATTATCAAGGATGTTATAAAGCGAAATCTAGAAAGTCTTTATGGGATCAAGCAAAGTTCAGCTTGGTTTTGTGAAAGAAAAATTATTTAATTTATTGGAGTGGGTAACGGGGAGCACATTTTGCAGTGGATAACATTAGCATGAAGAGGATTTTGATTGGCTAGGAGAGACTAATTTTATTTGGTTTGCCAAATGTAACTCGTGGAGTTCCAAAGGGAAACTATTTGAGGCAGCAACTATTTACAATCTGTCGTTGACTCCGGTGTAGGGACAGTATGTATGGTAGATGCCATTACCAAAATCAGTAGGGAAGTAGGTTAGGAGGATAGAATCTGCAAAGGAATAGAGATTTAATGGTTGGACACTGGGAACTTTTTCTTTCTGTTATGTAGTACCAGAGCTACGAGACAGTTTTAAAAAAAACTATAGGCCTCCCATTTAAGAGGTGGGTGAGGAGAAATGGTTTCTCTGAGGATTGCTATAGTATGGACTTTTCTGCCCCAGAAAGCAGTGGAAGCTAGATGATTGAATTTGGAAGCTGAGTTAGATTTTGATAGCCTAGAGTTGAGGCAGACTAGTAGGTGAAGTTGAGACAGCAGCCAGCTTAGCTACTTGTGCTCCAAGGTCTAATGTTTCTGTGTCAGCCTCATTGCAATCTTCCAACAAACTAATCGACTAGGTGCTATTGTATGGCACATGCTCATTAACAACTTGATCGCCATTACTTAGTTGGGGTTCCATCAGGTCATCTTGATTCCAAATCAGCTTCAGAATATGAAGAGAAGATCTGAATTCTGGAGGTAAGGTGAGAATGACGGCCCTTGACATCAAAACAGTGTTTGACTTGTGTCAAGCAAGCCTTGGAAATTGAAGTCAGTGGGATCAAGGGAAGTATGTCCACTGGCTGTAGAGGATGAGTTTAATGTGTCGGATGGTGTGCTGGTGAGATGGCATTTATATTAAATTAAATTGAACTGCTTTGTGTTGCAGTGGCAGCTATATGATAAATATTCAGTCCTCCTGACTTGTAGCTGGCAGATAAGCTTTGCACGAGTTAGGAGATCAGTTACTTCATAATAACCAACTTTTTGTAATCAAAGTATTTGTTAGTGGATTATAATATGAATGAGATGGGTAACAGCAGCAACTGGGATATGAAGAGAAAGCATTCTGCATTGTTACAATCCTAAATGTTACATGCTGATCAGAGTCTAAGAATGCCTCTTTTAGTTTTGTTTCTATTACATTAACTAGGTAAAACTGAGTTCAAACTTCTTACCACCCCCGGTCATAGTATGGGTAATATGCATTAACTTGCTGTTTAAAATTGGCGTACTTTCAATCAAATAGTATTAACTATTTTGTCTCCCTAATAATTTGATTGTTGATTACAATAATGATGTATATTTGCAAGAAAGGGTTACAGAGCCCACCAGGAGCTTAATTTATCCATTCTGAAGCACTCAAGTCCACTGTGCCTTTACAGATAAGTTTGTCTTCAATCTGGTGTAGTGTTCAAGTCCCCTCTCCTCCGTTGAGAATTAGAAAACCAGTACACTAACAATTGAATGAACCAGATTGGAAAAATATTCATTGTAATTTTTCAGTTACTTGATTGTCAGATAGGCTGTAGTAGTCTTAATGGGCTTAAATGCTCCAGTTTTGGTGTTAAATTGTCTTTTGGACTCATTTCAATTCTTTGTTTTTTTCCTTCCTGTTAAATTCTCTGCTTTAAGAAAAAAAACCCTCAATTTACTTCATATCTTCTCCAGCTTTGCATCCTGCACTTTGAAAAGCATAGTTTAAAAATGATTCGAAATGTTCAATTTGTTTCTGTGCATGAATGGACAGGGTTTGTCGTGTGCCTGAGAAACATTTGCATATATATTGCTGCTTCAAGCCTACAAGTTCCTGTGTTTATGTCTGAATTCTACTTGCATTTCCTCTAGGAATCTGAAGAGCATCAAGCCTGGTCCCGCATATGACTCTGAGGAGGAGGATAAGTGCAAACCGATGACGTATGAGGAAAAGAGACAACTGAGCCTGGACATAAACAAACTTCCTGGTGATAAATTAGGGCGAGTAGTTCACATCATTCAGTCCCGTGAGCCCTCACTAAGAAACTCAAACCCTGATGAGATTGAAATAGACTTTGAAACGTTAAAACCCTCTACGTTGCGAGAGCTAGAACGATACGTTACATCATGTTTACGGAAAAAAGCGAGGAAACCTCAAGGTGAGAGTTAGCCCTCGCGGATTAAAGTTGCCACCTCACTATATAAAATCGATCTAAAAATTTGTTGGTTGTGCACATGAATCCGTCTAATCAAGCCATTCTTAATATATCAGTCATTCCCTCTTTTTATTAAAACTATTCTCTACTTACCATGCCATAATGCTCTTTTTTCTGACTGCATGGTGTGTTGGGAGCTTCTCCACTCTTCTCCAACCACTCCCTCACCCCACCCCTCCCCAGACAGGCTTTTCTAAGTATTACCTCTGAAAGCCGGCTGTTAGGCAGTGTGTATGATGGACATGGGATTTGGGCAGGAGATGGGTAAGCAACTGTTTGTGTTAAGTTCTTTCTTGGGCCCTGAGTCATGTCATTGCCATTCTATGGATTATCATGGCACTGTAGTTGTCAAAAACAGTTTGTTGAAACAGTGGCCAATGATCAGCTTAAAATAAATTGCAAATGCTGAAATCTGAAATAAAAACAGTATATTCAAGATGTGCCTGAAAGAAAAAATGTTTTGTCTTCTCACTGACAAATGGGAGCAACATAAAGATTGGCAGAAACTTAAGTATCATGTTAGATATTAATGCTACAGTTACATGTTAAGATTTGTTTTTTGTACTAAATTTCAAGCTCGTGTATATTAGGAGCTAGACAAACTTGCTTGATTGTGGATTTGAGCCCATTGTTTTAAATAAGCCTCGTGGAACATAAGCAACATTACTGCAACTCTCAAATTACTGCTAAATTTGCGTCATAATCAATTACTACACCCAAGAAGGCAAAAATGTTTCCATTTGCTCTGTGTCCTTTGCAGCTGTCCCATGTACTGCCGAAATGACTATTAATGCATTTGGCAGCCAGTGATTATTTTTATTTGCTCAATTTTCTAGATGGAACATCAAAATTTTTCCCTTTTCCATCTCATGACTGCCACCTCTTTTCAGTTGAGGGCTTTAATTGATTTGGAAACAAATGCAGGGTGAATTTTTATTAGCCAAAAATGTCAGCTTGGCATTTGGGGTAGAAGAATGTTAACATTTCCCCAAACACAAGGATTTTTCTGTATTTGTATCGCGTGTTTCGGCAAATGATCAAAATTTGTTTGTCATCGAAAATTGGAAGGTCTGGCAGATAAGCCAGTTGCTAGGATGTTCGTTGTAAAGCTCAAGCATTGCTATGCAAACTAGACCCTTTCTACCCACAAAAAACAAAAGGCCAGAGCAAGGATTAAAACATCGAAAAGAATTTGGGACATTGTCCACCTTCACTGCTCAACTATGGAAACAGCCTTTATTCCTAAGGCTATGTTCTAAACTATTTATACCTGCCATGTTTAACTATTCATCTCTCAAAAGGACTTCCTCTACTTGAAGTAATTGATGCTTGGCATTGGGAAAAAGAATCTAAGTTAGCATGAATAGTTAAGTAGAATAAATACATGAGATGTCACCAATAGCAGGATGAGGTCAACTTTTAAAAAAAACTGATCCATAACCAATCAAATTATATCCATTTGTTAATCACTTAATATTCATAAGCAAATTAGTTCTTAGTAGAAATAGATAATTTTATAGTAATCCTACCAAGTCGATAGCGCAGCCACTATATTGGAACTGTAGAATATGGGCATTTATGGCTGCTGTACATGACATTGCCTGCAGGAAATGTGGCTTAAGTCTCCAGTTTGGTCATTAAACTGGAATAAGAAGTGGTAAAACTTGGCAGGAGGAGAATAATAGCTGGTTTATTCCTGGCCACAGGTGTACGAAGAGGAGTGTGATACTGACTAGTTGTTAAGGGGAGTGTGGTAAAATTAAAAAATAAAGAAGGTATGCACAATGAACATTAAGAATTAAGGTTTGAACAAATAGATGTTAGGAAGGTCTGGAATAGACTAAAATGAAAATATTAAAACATGAAGTATAACGTAAGCATGTACATGACAAGGCTAATTAAACATTAGGGCTTCAAGGTAAATCTGTAGCAGGTGATAGTGAAATTGCAAGGATACGTGATAGACACTTGTTACAATTTTCACTGAAAAGGCTGATGAAAACAAAGGAAATGACTACAGTGCTAGTTGTCTGAAGGGATATGAAAAAGAGTATCAGAAATGCCAGAACCAAAGTTTGAGTTTAAATAGATTGCACCTACAGATATTACGGAAGATAACAGAGACTGCTATCCATTTGGCGATACACTATTTTTAAAAATTGAGGATTTCCAGAAACACACTTATTCCTACTTTCAAAGTTCAAGCTATATCTAATTCTGGGAACAATAAACAAGTGGGCTTAATATGTTGATAAAAAAGATGCTGGAATCTATCTTCTGAACTTACAATAGAATTACTAACTTCCTGAAAGTGAAATACTATTAAGTTTTGCATTGGATTGTTTATGCAAGTGAAGTTGACTCTGTTAGACATTAACTACTGCACTTAGGGAAAGAGGCTGGCAGGATGATGTTGCCGTACCTGTGCTATCAATGATTTCTCTCAAGCAACCCTCTCAGAAGGATAGGCAAAGGGTAAGAAGAAACGTACTTGCAGAATGGTTACCCCGCAAAATAAGAGCCTACTTTGTCTGTTTTTGTCTGTATGAGCTCTCTGAAAGAGCAACTCACCTAGAACCACTTCCCTGTAGCTTTGCATTTTTTTCTTTTTAAAAGTAATGAAATTCCCTTTTCAGAACATGAATTGACACTGCCTCTATCACATTCTTCTGCAGTATGTTTTAGATCCTAACCACTTGCTGCAATAAAAACCAGTTCTTTCTGCCACCATTGCTTTATTTACCAATTACCTTAAAGCTGAATCTAATACTTGCACCAATGGAGACATTTTCTCTCTATCTACTCTGTCCAGATCCAACATGACGTTGCATGTCTCTCAAATCTTCTCTTGATTTTTTTCTGCTCGGAGGAAAACTGTTCTAAAGTGCAATTTGTAGAAGTGGACGCAGAGTTTTTGCAGGCTTAAAGTTTTAGATACAAAAGTAAAAACGCTGCGCAGGCCAAAATTCTGAAAACGAACCCGAAATGCTGGGGAAACTCCAGTCAGGCAGCATCAATGGAGAGAAGCAGACTTAATGTATCGGGCAGATGAAATGTCATCAACTTGAAATGTTTGGACCTTTTTTCTTTATCGATGCTTCATGGCTGTGTAGATTATCCAGCTTTTTTTGTTTGTATTTCAGGTGACCTAACCTTGCTTATGTACACACTACCTGTTGATGCCCAAGATGTCATGTACCTTTTCAATTCCTTGACTCAAGTATATGTATCAAAGGCTCCTCTGCCTCTGCATCCCCTTTAAAATGGTACCCTTTGATTTATACCTTTTTATTTGTCTTTGTATCTTTCCTACCTAAATATCAGTTGGTCTACACTCGCTCGACAGAGAAATCTGCTCTCTGACTTTGCCGGCCTGTTTAGAAGTAGCAGCTTCAGAAGCCTTTACTTGGGAATTTGGAACAGCATCTGCTAAATATTCAAGCTAAGGAGACTATTTGAAAAGTTCAGCATCAAAAAATTAATAGAAATAAAGATTGAACTCTCCAGGATGGAGCAAGCATTAGTATCAAATGAAATAGAAACTAATTTCTATAGACCTCACTGTGGCCAGTTTACTTTTGGAATTGTCATGTACTTAGTTTTTGCAATTGCATGTTCTTTGCAGTGCACTACAACGCATTGATATCTTGAAATTTCCATTATGTTTTAAACAGTGAAAAAATTTTTAGCCCACAAATGAATTGGAAACTTCGTCTGTGGCCCAGCACTTGGCACTGCAGGAAATCAAATTATGATAATGTTCAGGGCCCAATGCAGGATCAGTCACTGCAATTAAGCAAGTAATGAACTCAAATTGTGGAATAATCGTTGCGAATTCATCACGGGTTAGAGGTTATCAGTCCAAAATTCTTAAGGTAATATGACTTGACTCCATCGAGCTAAGGCGAATGAGTGAAATCCATTCTTAAAAACTCTGGATAAACGTTGAGCTTAAACTAACTTTAATCTTCGGCTGTATTTAATCCCATTCATGTTTTCCAAAGTGTTTAGATACTGGGACATAAATTTGTCAACAAATTGAAGATTCAGTTTTGGTGGGAAACTTAAATTTCAAACAAGCATTGACCTCTCTTTTCTTTTCTGTGCTCATGTTGAAGGATGTTAATGCACGGGAATGGGTCCCATTTGGTTTTGGAGTTGAAGGTCAACCTCTATTGTTCCTAATTCATCTGAAGTACATCCAGATGCAGAGTAAAGCTCATTCCAAAGATGTCAATTAGTTTAACATCTGAAAACAATCTTCTGGAGCATCAGGATCCTTTTTCTCATTTGCGAGGATCATTCTTCTGTCAGAGGTCTACTGTGCAGAAAATGGGCCTTCAGCCCATTGAGTCTGCACCAGTCAAAAACAAACACCTGAGATAACAAGGTGTAGAGCTGGATGAACACAGCAGGCCAAGCAGCATCAAAGGAGCAGGAAGGCTGAC